CCACCAGATGCTCTGCCGGGGAAGGAGGGACAATCTCCTCCTGTACCAGTCAGATCTGATTTGACGGTACACTCACACAAAAATAATAATAATAAAAATATTCACACACACTATATATTTTTTTAAAAAAGCAAGATATTAAGAAATTAGTGTAGATACGTCAGAAGGACACCAGAACTGCCCTAAGCTCCCACTAGCCAACTAGCATGAGAATTAAACAATGATAATATCAGATTGTATAACATAAAATTAATCTATGGTGATCTTTTCAAAATGAAAAGTAAAATCTTTTTTTGCAGAAAAGTTCAACTAAGAAATAAAGATTGATATAGTTAGAAAATTACCAATGATTTCTGTACTTGACTGAGGCAAAAACTAGTAAGTAAAACATCGTGAACATGAACATTCTGTAATCACTACAAAGAATACACATTCATTCCAAGGAGGAGGCATTTATGTGGAAAGTCTAATAGGTACTGCATTGACCACTGACCAAATGAGTAACATTAGCAAACCATCAGTGATGGAACAGATTAATATTCTCTTTGTCTTAGTTGTCTAGCGCTGCCATAACAGAGATATTCTCTTACAGTTTAAGGGGCTAGAAGTCCACATTCAACCTCTAGGGTGAGGCATTGCCTCTCTGTGTTGATTCTGGAAGAAGGTCCTTGTTTCCTTCAGCATTTGTAGGCCCAGCATACCTTGTTGTTGTTATGTGCCATCGAGTCACTTGTGACTCATAGCAACCCTGTGTACAGTACCTCTGAACTCTGCCCAATTCTGACCCAATCTGCATTCTCCACTCCACCTACTCCCACTATCCCAGTTACTGTGTCAATCCATGTCATCCGTGGTCTTCCACTCTTGCACTGTCCTTCCACCTTTCCAAGCATGATATCCTTCTCCAAGGACTTGCCTCCTGGCAACATGCCCAAAGTATGTGGGACAGAGCTTCCTTACCTCAAAGGAACATCTTGATTTGACCTATTCCAGGACAGACCTGTTTGTTCTCTTGGCAGCCCATGGTATGTTAAATACTCTTCTCTGGCACCGCAACTCAAAGGCATCAATTCTTCTTCTATCCTCTTTAGTCATTGTCCTTCTCTCGAGTAATTGTGAAGACCATGGCTTGGATAAGGCACAGCTTAATCTCTAGACTGACATTGTTGCTCTTCAGCACTCTGGAGAGGTCCCTGATAGCAGATTTGCCCAATGCAGTTTGTCTTTTTATTTTCTGACTGCTGGTGTCTAAAATGTTTATTGTGGAGCCAAGCAAGCTAAAATTGTTTATAATCTCAATCTCTTATCTGTCATGATGCTGCCATTTGGCCCTGTGGTTAGAATGTTTGTTTTCTTGATGTTGCACTTCAATCCATATTGAAGACTGCAGTCCTTGACCTTCTGCAGCAAATACCTCGGTTCCTCCTCAGTTTCAGCAAACAAGGTTGTGACATCTGCATGATGCAGACAGTTGATGAGCTTCCTCAAATCCTGATGCCACGTTATTCCTCATAAAGTACAGCTTCCCAAATGTTGTTTCTCATAATTTTACTGTGTGGAGACATTTCCCAAAACAGGACCTGAGTCCAAAGGACATGCTCCAGTCTCAGTCCTTCTATCTTGGTGACCCTGTAGTCCTCCTCTGTAGATATTTCTGATCCTTTTACCTCTTATGAGATAAAAAAGTGTTATAGGCCACACCATAGGGAAATTCCCCTTTCCTCTGAAAAGGTCCTTGACCTAATTAAGGATGTTAGGTCACACCCAAGTAAAATCTTGCTGAAGATTATCCAAAAACAACTACATTGACAGAGAACTGCCAGAAATTCAAGCTGGTTTCAGAGAGATCATGGCATTAGGAATATCATTTCTGATGTCAGATGAGACTTCACTGAAATCACAGAGTACCAGAAGAATGTCTGTGCTTTATTGACTATACAAAGGCATTTTAACTGTGTGGATCATAACAAATTATGTCTAACAGTGAGAAAAATGGGAATACCAGAGCACTTACTGTGCAAAACTTATGCCTAGACTATAAGAGGCTGTTGTGCGAACCAAGCAAGGGTTTAAAATTATAAACCAAGTATGATTTAAAATGAAGAAGGGTGTGCTTCAGGGCCATATCCTTTATGCATACCTATTCAATTCTCTGTGGAGCTGATCATTTGACAGGCTCACCTTTATGAAGAATGTGGCATCAGAATCAGAGGAAAACTCATCAACAACCTGTTGTGTTATACAGAAAACACAATCTTGCTGCAAAAAGTGAAGACACCTTGAAACCCTGGCTGCAGAAGATCAAAGGGTACAGGCTTCAATATTAATTACGTCTCAATATGAAGCAAAGAAAAATCCTCACCACTGGACCAATAGGGAACGGATAGATAAAGATTGAAATTGTCAAGAGCTTCTTTTTCTTTTCTGGCTCCTAACAACTTCCTTTTACTTGACTACACAATCAGTACCCATCTTAACAGCAGTCAAGTAATCAAAAGATATGTTGCATTGGGAAAAATCTGCTGTTAAGAACCTCTCTAAGGTGCCAAAGAACAGGGAGGTCAGTCTAAAGACTAAGGTACACCTGATCTACCCATGGTGTTTCCACTTACTGCCTGTGCATGTGAAAGTTGGACAGTGACTAAGTATGACAGAAGAAAAATCAGTGCCTTTGAGTTGTGATATTGGAGAAGAGGACTGAATATCCCAGACTGCCAAAGGAACCAATAAATATGTCTTAGAAAAAGTACAATCAGGGTGCTCCTTGAAGCCAGGGATGATTAAGCCTTCATCTCTCACATATTTTGGGCATGTTTTTAGAAGGGGCCAGACCTTGGAAGACGACAACATGCTTGGAAAGATTGAGGGTTATTAAAAGAGAGGAGGACCCTCAACAAGATGCATCAGCATAATGACTTTACCAGTGGACTCATAGGATACCTATGACTAGTAGTCAGCTCACTGGCACCCAACAACAACAACATCCCACTTTAGTCCTTTTACAACTTATTGCTAACTTTCCAGATCTCATCCAAGGGAATGAACACATCATGTCATAACTGCTTCTCATCACGCCCCATCAACGTCATACAGGTTAGGGTTTACAGCACATAAGGTAGTTATATTATGCTGAGAATCATGGCCTAGCCAAGTTAACACATATTTGTCATGGGGATACAATTCACATCATGACACTCCTCCACTTGGGAAGGACCAAGCATCCCCTGTGTGTTAATCTTGCAAAAAAAAAATGTTTAACCTGAATTTAAACATGAGGAACCTGTCAACCATACCCAAGACAGCCAAGTCATATCCATGACCTAAGACAGCTGGTATGTTGTTGTTGTTGTTGTTGTT